CTTTATTCTCTAAAAAAAAAAACTAACTTTGAATTTAATTGAGTTAAGCGAAGCAAACCAAGAATGATTTTTTTTTAATTATTATTAATAGATGTGTGTTCATTATAAAGTGATATTGAAATATAATATTTTTTTTATAAATATATATTTTTTATTAAAAAAATAAAAGGGACACATTTATTTCTTATTTATAAAAATCTCTGCGTTCGCCTTTGGTCAACTCTTTTGTCTTTCTTTGTAGACGACACACATTCAACCATTTTTTCTCCAACTTGGAAAATGGACAGCCAAGACTCCAGAAAGAATCATACACATACACCAGGTTCCATTCTTGATTTTACCCTCTTGCTTTCCTGTTTTATTTATTTCCATGGGTTTTCATTTTCCTTGGTATTAAATCTTGTGTCTTTGTTGGGTTTCTTCAGCTTTTTTGTGGAAAAGGATTTCTGGGTTGTGTTTTTTCTATTCACATTCTGTGGAAATTCATTTTCTTTGTTTGTTTTGTGAAGTTGTCTTGGGGTGGTTGGTCCCTGTGGATGGATGATGATGTGGGTTTTTGTTGAAACTTGCAGGGCATGGGAGTCATGGAGTTCGTGTGTGTCACAGATGTGGATGGCCCTTTCCGCAACGACATCCAAGCGCAAGACGCAAGCATGCACACAAGAAGATATGTGGAACTCTTGAAGGATACAAGGTTGTTGACTCTGAGGAGGCTTCCCTCTCGGCTCTTTCTGATGATGACGATGACAATTTTTCTGATGAAGAACCTGAAACCCCTAGTGAGAATTCTTGCTATAGAATTATGTTCTCCCCCTCCCCCATAAAACTTAGGAAGAGAATGGATTTACTGTTGTGGATGCTTGACTTCATTGTAGGGAGCCTCCCCCCCCCCCCCCATAAAACTTAGGAAGAGAATGGATTTACTGTTGTGGATGCTTGACTTCATTGTAGGGAGCCTTAGACTGCTCAAGGTTAAATTGAGATAAAGATTTGTACTTCGTCTCTGATAGGGAGAAGCATTGCATTTTTTTTCTTAACTAATATTGGTTAATTTGGCTGCGCAAGGTCCAAAAGGTTTGGAGAGAAGTAGTAATGAGAAGGGTAGTGGCGGAATAGGGGACATATCAAATAGATCAGAAGACGAGGTCTTCAAGGATGCTGTTGCGGAATTTCCTGAAAGTGGATACAGTTCGGTGACGGGAGAGTATACTAGGGATGTTAAAGAACAGGAAATTGGCCTGGAGGTCAATAAAGCCACTGCTCAAATATCCAAGGATGGTTCGATTACTGGTAAGCTTTCAACGGGACCAGATAATATATTGTTTTGAGCTGTCTTGTCTGCATCTGAGTGTATAGCATGATTGATTTGTACTTGGATAGCTGCAGCATTTAATGCTTGTCTGGAGTTGTCGTTTAATTTATTGTGACTCTCTCATGTAAGATGCTTCGATCTGTTCTCTCTCTTTTTTAATAGGCTTCATTTCATAATCCTATAAGTTCATCACTGAGTGCATTCTCAAGTATGATTGAGTCATTTTAAGTGATGGGTAGGATTGGGTCAAATTAGCCACTAGGCATCCATGGAGCGTGGTGCTATATGGTAATTAGCCACTAGGCATCCATGGAGCGTGCTATATGTTGGTAAGTAGAATTATTTATTAGGACATAAGACAAAAACCTCAATTGAGATCTTGGATTGATAGGTGGGATACTTGAGAAAGTTTAGTTGTGGCAAACACCTTTTGGATTCAAGAAATTTAGATATGACCATTAGGCTCATTGGTGGGTCTTGTTTGACAAGCTTCGTTCTAGCTTTTTGGCACAATCATTAGTCACTTGGAAGACTGGTTAACGAGAAGCCATAGGGGTTTCATAGTTGGATTGTATATATTCGGATTACATCTGGTTTGCTGTGTGTAACTAATTTCTCCCTTCAACTTTTGTTGTCTTACTGTAACTTCGTTGTAAAGAGTTCTGATAGCACAGGATTTAAGTTTTGCCTAGGAAAACTAACAAGTTAAGGTGTGATTAAATTAAATAATGGAAGGGAATCAAATGGAGATATTTCTTTCTGAAAATTGTGTTTTTTCATGGAATATGTATACCTTCACGAGTAATTTAGGTATGTAAGAACTCTCTGGGGTGATTTTAATCTTATATCTTCACGTGTAACATGGTGCTGTGAGACATGCTTGTTTTAGCTTCATTTCACAGGGGAGGTAAATCATTTGTGCATGCATGTAGGACACAGGACTATATATGTGGATTCCATTTTTTTTTTTGTTTTTAATTGAGTTAAAATAACTTCTGACGTGGGCTCGTTTTGGAAACTTTCTCTTGTACTTCACCATTGATATTTCTTTCTAATTTTAATTTTTTGAACTTCACTTCTGACCAAAGATTTTCAAGAAGATTCTGGGAAAACTCAAATCATCTTGTATTTCCTTGAATGTGAATAATTTTCCATTTACAGTGTGTTTTGAATATGATGCTTCAGTCATTAACTGTCTATAATGACATTTGTTGAAACCTAGGGGTTTAGACGGTTGTGAAACTCAATTATGATTTCTCGCTTTTACCCTTTCTTTTCTGAGGAAGGAAAATAATGAGATTCTGAGTGTATGTGCACGAGTACTTCCATGTGTGGATTAGTTGATATCCTGCAGTCACTTAGCAATGGACTCACAATGCCCCCCTGCCAAAAACAGAGGGGGCAGACAGATTATTTATGGATATAGGATTGTTAAAATTTATATCAGTGAACATGTTGTCTATGTATGAAGATTGTTACTTTATGAAATAATGCAGTTACCGGCCCACCTCCTAGCAATTCAGCTGACCCCATCCAAATGCAAAGTACTGAAGCTCCAGTATGTAATCTGCCTGGAAAAGCAAAAGAGTCCCTAGATCATGATTCAAATTCTACCACTGGCTTCATGACTAGATATTTAATAGATTGCAGAGATGAAGAATCTGGCTTTGAGTATAGCCATGATAATGAAGGTTCTGCGTGTGACCCAATCCCCATCAAACTTGAAACACAAACAGATGCATCACAAGAGAATAAGAAGATTGGTGCTGGCAAGGATTTGTCAGAGACTGATGCAAAAGGATACGAAGGAACTAAATTTGATTCAGGGGAAGCATCTGAGATGGTATCCAAGTTGCAGAAGATGGGGGATGTAACTTCAGAGCCAGTGCCTGCTGCAGAATCCCTTAAATTGAAGGAAGGCCATGCAGATGTTTTAGCCTCTGGAATGTCTTTAAAAGATCTCTCCTCTGAAGTTAAATCAGATGAACCTGTTGATTCTTCTTTTGATGCTGCACAGACCAAGGGGGGTGATGATCAAGAAATGGACTGCACTGATTATGTCAATTCAACAGATGTCTATGATAATAAGGGAGAAGGGGATGGAAATGTGCATGTGCTTATAGTTCCCCATGACTTTCCTGTAGTAGCCGATGCTGAGAACATGGTTAAAGGTTTTAAAGACCATGAAGGAGGGAAATTACCCCGACTTATAAATGTGGATTCATCTGAAGTATTTAACAATGTTAAGGATTCTGACACTAAGGACAATCCTTCTGGTTTTAATTCAAGGCCATTGACCAAGGCCACCAAAGTCTCTACATCAGATTTGCGTGTTTTGAATGATAATGTTGAACCCAGAGGTGTGGCCAGCCAGCTTATTGTTGAAGAATTGCCTGATGAAGCAGAAGATGATATGCCCCGTAAATCAGAAGTTGGTGCAACAGATGTTGTGGTATGTGACCTGGAGAAGAGCATTTCTGTTCAATCTCCTGAAGAAGGACCTCGTGATCATTGTGAAACTTCATCTCTGACGAGTTATCTAGAGCACACTGCAAACGCCATATCTGTTACTAGCACCCTGGTAGTGCCAATAGATGCTGAAGTCAGGCAGACAAACTTAGATGCTACTGGTAATCATGATAAAGATAGAATTGAAAGTTCCGAAATAGCTGTAAATGACATAAACAAAAGAAATGCAGTGGAGAATTGTGCAGAAAACAGAATACCAACTTCTGGACATGCTAGTATTCCCGCCGAACAAGTTGATCGAAGGAACAGCGTACTTGGAGATGTCAATGCTGATGCTCATGAAGAGGGTAAAATAGAAAGATGCAATGTGTCTAAAATTGAAACTGAGGGTGATTCTGTACCTGGATTGGGGGAGGAAAATCTCCTGAGGGAGCCAAAAGCAACACCTGAATCTGCTGCCAATGTTGAATACCATTATACCTCAGAGAATGAAATTAATGTGTGTGGGGGTAAGCTGTTAGAACATCAGCACATAGATTTAGGTAGAGAGTTGGAGCTTCAAGATAGCAAAAAGGAACCTGAAAGCAATAGTA